GTGGTGGCTTTTTTCGCGAAGTAAACGGCGTAGAACCGTGAGACGTTTCCTTATGGGGATAAGAAGACCTCGAGCGAACTTGGTCGGCGAACGTAGCCGCGGCCGTGTGTACGCGATTTTGTGTGGCGATCCTGAAGTTCTCGGGCCGACCTCAGATCGGAGACAGGCGCAAAGAAATATTAATCCGAGCAAAACACGCCTACCTTCGTCTGTTTCTATTCGCTTGAACAAAAATGGTAAACGAACTCCGTTTTATGCGGTGACTGTGAATACTATTAAATTAATTAAATATCAAAGGAGCAATGATATTCTAATCCCTTGAGTTAAATAACATTTTGTTATTTTTATTTTCTATCTATGTCAAAATGTAGATAAATCAATCCAATCTATTTTAGTGCTCATGAGTTTCAAAGTAAACAACGTTTACACACACCCACTTATTGATGTATGCGCTTAAATAAATAATAAAGTTTAGTCAAACTAAATATTATATTTTTTTGAATTATATAAAGAATGTTTTCCATGACGCAGATGACAGTGTAACATAGTGAATCATTACATTGTTTGCTAATGTTAAACAGAGATGAAATGATCACTATGATACACTATGTCTGTTGTTGGAAAGCAACAAAATTGTTTAGCCCTATTATTTTAGTCAAATTAACGACATATTGGAGGAAGTAATGACCTACATATAAATATATAAAAGTAGCTCAAATTACGTAGATATATAATGTAACATTATGAATTTAACAGTGTACGATGTGACTTTAAAAATAACCGCAGAAACCCTTACGAAAAAAAAAACCCTTAAAAAATCCTCAAAATGACTCCCAAAGTGATTCTCAAATTTGAGGGTAATTTCGGATCCCTATCTTAAGATCGTAAAAAGTATTTAAAATTTATATATAATCTGCACGTGTCATGTCTTTTTACTATCCGTAGAGGATGTATCTATCTTCTGCCTCCGGATATCGAATCCCTGAGTGTTAGAGAAATAATAATAAACGCCGGAAGGAAGGTCAGCGACGGCGAATACACGACTCTCGCTTAAGTGTCTAAAATAGAAGCGAGCGCGCGGCACATGCCAATGACCCAAATTTCCCTTATTCTCAACATAACACGAATTAACTTCTCGCGCGCGATGTTGCGATACGTCGCTGCGAGAATGGATCACGTTGTCGCATCATCGCCCAATATTCCGTAATCCACTGCGTCATCATCCGCAATTGGTGGGTGAGGTGCGGGTGTGGTGAATTTATGATGCAAAGCTTATTCTGTTCTATTTCGATCAAAATGATGTCGCGAAAAGATTCGATATATATCAGTATATTAAAAGCGCAGTTTTTCTATATCCATCGATGCTCCCAAAAGTTAATGATTAAAAGAACGCTCACCCCTTCATTCTATTTTTAACAATAAACAGTCACATTTTGTGAGTAGAAATCATCATTTTGACTTTTACGGTGTCAAAATAAAGTAATTTTCATTCGTTTTTTTACTCGGCGTATTTCTTGGGAATTTATTTCTCTTAACTATAACAAATACCACTTTTAGCAATTTTACATTCATTATATAAGGTTAATGTTTTCCGGATTTAATAAAAGATAGAAAGCGAGAGGACTATAATTGATTAATATTCGATATCAGAAAAATATCGCAAAAATTTACATAAAACATAAATTATATTCGCGATGATAAAATAATACATATTTGTTATCTATTTAAATATTTTGTAAATAGTAATATTAATAAATAGTAATATTAATTCGATAAAATAATGGAATTGTTTCTCTTTATTTTAGAATGCAGCTGACAACCTGTTGCAGATGTTGTTCCCTGAAAACGGGAACAATTTTCAGTGGAGTATGTGGCATCGTAAGTACACCATTTCTATGTTTCCAGCTCGCACGTGATTCAATTACTACGCAAATCGGTTTCGTGCAGGTACTGGCTGTGCTTTTCCTGATCCTGATCTTCACGGCGAACGTAGAATGGAAAACGATAATCATCGACATTCTAGACAAGACGGCCGTAAAGATCATCTTTGCCATCAACCTCTGCATGACCATCCTCATCTCTACGTTACTTATAATCGGTGCTGTAAGGGTAAGGAAATATTGATGGTATATCTAAATGCAACAATAAAATATTGCAAAAGATCATAAAACTACAGAAGACATTTAAAATTATCAAACTGCAAACATAAGTCACTAAATATTCTTCAGAAAAATTATAAAATTTATTTACTGACTATAAAATTTAATAATAAATGTATAAAAATGTATAAAAGTTGATAACTTTTACACATTGTATATATTATATAATGTATATATAAAATCGAGAAACATATTTATGCATATTTTTCTTAATTTATTTATTATCTAGTATTATTTTATATAAATAATTCTAATGAGATGATCGGTTTGGATTTACAGAAAAACACATTTATGATGCTTCCATGGGTGGTTCTGGGCCTTATGCTGGCAGTCGCCTTTCTTGTAAGCGTCCTTTACACTGCAATTATGTTCTTAGTAAATGGCGAAGTTCTTAACGGCGTTCTTTGGCTCGTATTCGGCCCAATTGCCGTCGGTGAGTATTTAACATCAGTTGCGCTTCAAATATCATCGCGAATCTTCAATAATAAAATGGTGCTTACTCAGAAAAAAATGTTTTAAAGGAGACAGTTTATTTTTTTTTATCATTAAAAATTGAGAAAATAATTGAAAGTCCTAAAGAAATTATAATTAAAGTCACCACCACAGAAATCTATAAAGAATAGTCTTTAATCAGAAGATAGTCAGTCTGACCATAGAAGTCTGATGAAAGTTTAATAGTTTCATCAGAAGTCTGTGGTCACAATACTATTGACAATATAAAAACATTGATTTCAATTATAAAACCCGTCTGTTTTCAACAACAAGCTGAAATGAACTAATATATTTTTATATCAAAGAAATTGATAGACATTGAAAGCATGTTTGTACAATTAAGACAACTTGTAACAGTATTTTAACCTTTTGCAGCAATATATACGTATATGTGGCTGGTGGTGTATAGCTATTTCCAACAACTAAAGATCGAGAAGATGAGCAAAAGAATAGGTCCTTATGGAAAGCCGTACAATTACCGACGAGCATGAGGGCAGGATTGAATGTGTAGATGCACGATTGCAGGGGCCTGTCAGCGAAAGCGATCGTGGCTGGAGAACGGCATGACGACCGCAGCAACCGCTACCGCACGTATAAACATTTATAAACTCGTGTCGACTCACGACACGTTGTTACTATCGGTTGCAAGTTGCGGCGGTTTATGTCGTTTTCGCCAATAATACGTACCTCTGCACGAAAAGAACGATTTTGCTGAAGTATAATATATAAAAATTTAGGTAGATTGAAAATATAAAAACAATTTTGTTTTTCATGATAAAAATATTTATATAAATAATATGTAAGCATGATGAGCAATATTATAAAAAGTTTTGACGTTTTAATCAATTTGAATGTCTTATACACTGAAAGAACAATTTTTCTAAAGAATCTAAAAATTTGGCTAGATACAGAAAATAATTTTGTGGACGATCAAAATAATTTTGCAGTAATCGTAAGCATGATGAATAATGCTGTAAAATGTTTTAATATTCTTGCAATCAATTTTATTGTAGGAATCTGATTGTTTTGATGGTCCAGTAAAATTATTTTTCAGATCTCTAATTAGCTGAATTTTTAGATTCTTAAATCGAATTGCTCTTTTAATGTATAATTAGTTTTACAGTCAAATAAAATTATTTTTAGATCTAACTAAACTTTTAGATACTTCAGCAAAACTATTCTTTCCGTATGATTCGCTGAATGATGTCGGGTTAAAGCCAATTTTTCTTACAGTCATTATTTATCTAACGACGCGAGAATATCTTTTTGTTAATTATAATCTAAATAAATGGCGTTATAAAGATATTCTCGTCATAGTTTGCACCAAAGCACGATATATTTCGATTTACATGACCGGATACTTCGCAAAAGTATCCCTTAATCTGCGTAAAATAAGCGTAAACTAGGACATTTTTACAATAGATCATATTTATTATATAATTAACATTATTTAGTTTAACGATCGAATAAATACTCCCGTAATTTTAAAGAGTTTTGCTTTCGAACAACTAAAATGTCAAATATTCCAAGTGCAATTATTAATCAGGAATTAGTAAAAATTAAAAAAACATGCCACGCTATTAATTAAATTCAATAATCAAGTAACATTTTAATTAAGAGATTATTAATTTAATCGTCTAGGCTTAAACAAAACAGGGATGTAATAGATAATAGAAGATTAGCGAATTGAGAATCTCTCGATAAATTAATTTATATTATTGTAAGAGCGATAGTTTATGAGATAAATTTTCGTCAAAGAAAAACACTGCCTCTTTCTCAGATCATTGAAATATATATAATATAATAATAATAATAATAATAAGATATAATTTATATGGGTTAGTGAGGCAATTAATTCCCGTCCTTATTTAACTTTTTATTTAATTTGTAAAAGAGAAAAAACGCGCAGAAATGTGCGACGCACATAATAAAACAAGTTTTCACATAATACCATTAGAAAAATAGACTCATAATTTAACTGTTTATTCTAATTTTTCATTCCTTAGAACGTGTGCCATTGTATCTCTTTTCCAATCTTAATAAATACTATTTATTATCTACAAACAAATTAGTTTTTTTTCAATACCTATTGAAATTCTAAAACCATATCTCTTTAAATAAATTCTTTTGCAAAATATGTATCTGCTGCACATTATATACCTATATATTATATAATTATATTTCAGCTCTACAAAATACAATTTTTTGAGCAACACATTATTTTTTACCAAATACGTTTATTATATTTATCCTTTTTAATTATATTTTTTTATCAGGAGTATAAGTTGATTATGTATCCATTTAAAAATAAAAGATATTTTTTTTCTTGTAAAAAATTGTAAAGCTGTAATGAAAAAAACTTCAACAAAAAATCCGTAATACAATAGAAAGAAATAAAAGTCGGATATAAAAGCGCTCTTTATAAATAAGAGAGATTTAAGGCTGACTAAGAGCATTTTCTATATTTTCTCGAATAAATACGGCGAGACTCGCAGCAGCAAGGCTTGTTGTATGATTATTACAGCCAAAGTCGGTTGTTGAAGATGATCGCCGTGTGATTTGATGTTCGTTTGAAGATCTAAAACATTCAACATAATTCATACTTTGCGATAATTTTCTTGCAAAATATTTGATAAATGCATGTAAAATCTTTAACATAAATACATTAAATACATTCTATTTAACTGAAGTCGACATATTTATTTATCATTGCAATTATATATTTTATATCAATTGTAACAATTAATTACGACATATAATGATAATATTGTAATTGCATAATTAGAAGCTTTGTTAAAAAGACATATTCTTAATGCAAAGATAATTACTCGATTACACCGAAACAGCCGCTCCAGTGAGGCCAGCTCAGTATTGTATCTTCATAATGTTTATCGACGAATTCGTAGTAACCCTCCATGCCGCATAAAACGACTAAAAAGATAAAGAAAGGCACGCAATATTTTTCATATTTTGTTTATATAACATACATACATACATACTTTCTTTTACTTAATCCTTTCACTACGAAAGACAGATATACTCTTTATTGTCAATGAAAAATTCGTCTATTCGAGAGTATATTGCGTCCTGGCAAAAATAAAAATTGAAGTATAAGTGAAATGCAAAGGGAGAAGTCACAGAAGCTTAAACAAAATGTCTAGAAGGCAAAAATTGAGACAACAAGAGGCATTTTTTGTTGTCTCAGTCTTTACCTTCTGGAAGCTTCGTTTACGCTATTATTACTTTTCTCTTCGACTTATAACATATACTCCAATTTTTATTTTCGTTAGGGCGCGCGTGGTCGGTTTTTGTTCGAAACATAAGCTGCAATTAAAGAATTAATGTACGAAATACAAATATTTTTATTGCACGCACGATTACCTTGTTCTAACATGAGATCTCGCGTAATGTTCGGGAAGCTCCATGATTCGAGATTAATGAAATCCTCAAAGATCCTGGCACAATACGCGGACACTAAGGAGGACAGCGATGTCGTTTTATTGATGACCTCTTCGCATCCCAGCTAAAACCAATCTCTTTTTATTAATTAAATTTGTACAGAGATAAATGTAAAAATGCCTGAAAAAATTGCCTTTTTTCCTCATGAGCGTGATACACGAATGTTGTAATATATAAATAAATGTACGATGTAATAATTAAAGTTTCCCAGCATCTTACTGTTTTAGCAACTTGAACGATGAGCAGTCTGTGCGTAAGAGGATATCCGGTAGTATTATCATCCTTTATTAATGTGGCGACACAAGCAACAGGAATCTCGCATTCTCCCTTTAAACTGCTACGCACAATTTCGATTAAACATTGATCGCTTTCCGTTTCAGTGGGCGTTCCATGCCATATCGATCGAATAACTTCCTGATAGCTTAACCGACGGGGATGGGATCTCGATTTTGAAAAAACTCTCGTCCACGATATAGGTTTTATCCACTGATTGGGACTGTTTAAAGTCGATAGCACTGTAAAACTTTAGACTTCACAAAACTTGACCGATAATGTGATAAGCGGTAGCATTAATCAATAATTAAAAAATTGATATCGTTTTCTAACGATATAAATTTAAATACAAAAAGTAATTTTGGAAATTCTTAATTTCAATTTTAAAGAATTAATGTAATTTTAAAAGGCAAATATTGTTGAAAGCGATATTTTTAGTGTTTCAAATCTATTTTTTACACATTCTTTTAAAGAAGCTTTCCTACATTTTTCTACAATTATTTACACTTTTATCTTCTTCGTAAACCCATGAACTTCAAATATGTAAAATGTGCAAAAAAGTAAAATACATTAGAGGAGATAAAATCCTTGTTTTCCTGTGTTTAATTATATATTTATTATATGTACTTACTTAAAAATTTAGTTTCATTCTTTGGGGTAATAATCTTCATCAAATGTTTTCGAGTCAAATCGGATAGTACAACCATTTCTTTGAGAGCGATGAAGAATTTGTCTTCCAAATATTGGACGTTTTCATGTAGGAGCGCCGCCACCAAATTAGCTATTTTATTTATAGCGACAGATTTAAAATTGTATCACAAAAATATGTGTAAATTTTTATATATTTAATACAAAATTAAAATTCTTAGCTTCTAACTCAAGCTTTATATTTTAGAAATCTTAATCTGCTAAACTTCTCTTAAAAATATGTGATAGTATAATTTATTGATAACATATTGTGCGTATTGGTTTTAATTAGGGATTAATGATTCTTTACCTTCGGTTAAGGTTACACCGAAAGCAGCGTCCAGATTCATCTGCTCTGGTCTGTTGTTCATGTAGTCAAGAACCTTTTGTAGGGCGACTAGTTTTTGCTCTAGAATAGTCGATTTTATCGTTTGATACTTAAAGTGTAAGAGTATGGGCTCCGTTTGCCTACATCACATTTGCTGACAGTTTGTTTGCACATAAAAGTTATTACCTACAGCTCAAATGCCTATCTATGTATTATTGCATATAAATACAAAATTAAGAGAAAAAGGCAATTTTATCGCCTACAAATTGCCTGCAAGCATTTTTGCGCACAAACATAAATTAAATTAAGATGAAATTATGTAAGGAAATAATTTGTATTTTTAAAAAATTTGTTTTTTATAGTAGAAAATTTGTGTTTTAAAAGAGAATTTGTTTTTAAAGCAGAGAATAATGCTTGTAGGCAATCGATCTATAAACAATAATGTAATATACGAGTGTGCATTTAAATTACATTCGTATTTTAATTTTATATTTATGCGGAATAGTACACGTAGACAATAATTTTAATGCGTAAAACAAACTGTCAACAAATGTGATGTAGGCAGATATTGTAAGCAATCAATTTGTAGTGCTGTCTTCATTTTGAGACAAGTTCTTTCTCAAATGTTTTCAACAAAAAAATTTAATAAAGACCAAATGCACATTAAATATATTTAATATACATTTCAATCAATGTTCTAAAAACATCTCGGAATGATATATTTTCAATATAATAAAAAACATTTCTTTCTAAGTTTACTTAAATCTTTTATCGCCCTGTTTACTGTCATTAATTCACTCACGGAAACTTTCGGGATTAAATGCCGCTTCGGTTCGCAACGCGAAGTAAGCGAACAGAAGGAGAATCCTGAAGACACTGGAACATCCTGGAACTCTAGTTTCCATCGGGGCGGCTGTAAAGAAAAACCGATAAACTTCATTTTCATGCCGTTTATATAGGCTAAACCCCCACCGCGTGAGCACATCGACTAAGCTAAACGTCGGCGAAATTTATCGTCAATTGCCTCTTCTCCGATGAAGAAAAAGCGCGATGCTCTCGAAGCGAATTGGTAAATGCCGAAGCACGTGGTACTACTTTTTCTTCATGAGGCGGACGTGTCCTGACAGGAAAAGTGTTCTCTACGGGACCTGGATTGGCTTTCCGACCACATTTGCGAGAGATTCGCTCTCTATTTTCAGCGACGATTCTGTTCCAATTTAAAAAAGTTACCATACAATTACAATAGCTTGTAATTATAGAATACACCCTTTTAATAATGATCCTACAGTAACAAAATTCTATGTTTCAACTTGTTATTCCTAATTTATGGCAACGGACGTTATTAACAAAATAGTTCTTCTCTTAATTAAATTTTATCTTTCTGCACGTTCTCGAGTGTTAGAAAAACACTTGTTAAATGTATATATTCAACTTTATATTGAATAAATATATAAACCATTTTAATTTAAAAGAACAATGCTCAAAATTAAAATTAAAAGATAAATAGACAAAATGTCTGCCTTTTCTTGAATAAATACTTCAACTTCGATGCTATACATTAATACTTTAATTATATTTAACCCATCCAATTGTTTACAGATAATTATTTGTTTAATGTATTATTCTCAAATCGTTATTTTTTAAGAGGAAGAATATTTAAAATACGTTTCCAAATATTTTTTTTACCAATATTCAAAGAACATTTTTAAAAAATGTATCATTTCTATAATTACGGAATAGTATTATATAAAAAATATATACACACATAGATAATACAAACATAAATTTAGGTTTTTTTTTTAAAGATTTTTAGTTCGCAAGTTATTCTCATTTATTACTGGGTATAATAAATAAAAACTATGAACTAAGATAAATAATGAGCATATACCACTATACTGGATCTTTTTTGTGAGAAATTGTCTTTAATATAATTCAATTAAATTAAATTAAAATAAACGTTTTTCGGTTCTTTTTTTTTTAAATTTAATTTAATTTAATTACATTAAAGACAATTTCTCACAAAAAAGATCCAGTGTAGTGGTATATGCTCATTATTTATCTTAGTTTATTTTCAAACCATGTATAATCAATTAATATAGTTTTAAAAACTATGACTTACTTAAGATAAATAAATGTTAAAAAACTTGTAATGCATAATATCTAAAAATAAATGGTCTCCTGTTTATTTATTCATACATAAGTAATGTAATTCATATCATACAAACAATTTACAATACGCTAGAGTTAATTACATGTACAAAATAAGCCCCTTATATATATGCGTATGCCTTTTATATATTTTTTTCTATAAAGATATCTCATATTCATATCATATTTCTAATTCAAAATTTATAATATATTTTTGCATGCAATAAGTAAATTCTCGTAAATTTTCTACTATATTTATTTCTTATCTTCTGTTTAATAATTGCGAAGACCATAAATAAAAACGGTCGTAGTGATAAAAAGTCGGAAGATGTCTCCTTTTATGTAACTTCATATATTTCACAAGCTTTTATTAATCTTACTAGTTTAGTATTAATTTTCTTAAGAGATAAAAAATCTCTACTTTTCTCAAAGTTTTCTGTAAGTCTTATTGAAAGTCCTATCTAAAAACCCTATTCTCTATCAGGTTAATTTGGGCAATGTATAATTCATAATATAAATATGTTTATAAGACACATATATAAGACAATAATAAGTTAAATATATTATAAAATTCTTAAATTAATATACATAAGTCTAATGCATATATCAGTCTGGCAAGTCCAAATGCTAATAATAAACAAGTACTGAGTGTAAAATCGTACCTGTAATTTAAACTTTTTTTAAATGTACAATAGTTATCGATCGTCAGCAGTCAACACTACGTTTTCGAACGTTCTAATAATCAAGTAAGGTTGCATTTATATATATATATATATATATATATTTCTTTGACTGAAGTAGAAATTTCTTATTTCTCTGCTACATATATATATATATATATAAATATATTAGATACATAAATTAAAAGTATCACATCGATCTGATCTCATCTGTTTCAATCACAGATCATCATGTTGGTCAGTGTTGTCTCCGAATTCAATCTCTAGCTGCAGTCTGTAATCCATGGCAACAAAGACAATAACCAGAAGCACAGGCAAGCGAAATCTAGACTGCCAACCGAGCTTCAATATAAACATCAAGGAACGATGAAGGGTGCCACTGTTTCCCAAAAAAATGTCAGGCATCCTTTGCATCCTTCGATCAAACCTTTGGATGTAATTCAGGCAAATGCGTTGTGCACGTGTCTAATCGTATTTCACTAAATGGCAAGACACAGAAGTCCTCGGTCATCCGGGATTCGGTCCATATTCTTCAAGGCAGTCGGATAATCTACTTCAAATCAACTTAACGAGTGACTCCTCGTCTTGACGGTTAATATTCTGCATCGCCGTATCTATTAAATTAAAAAGACTTACATGAACTCTCTCTTTTTCTCTCTAAAATGTCAAATCATGCAAAAGGATTAGCAATGAATTATTTGACATTATAACAATACTAACCGCATTATCGGCCACCGTCTTTGACACCCATTTTTGACAGATCTTGGGCTTGACCCTTTACACGCATGTACAACACAAACACTTCGGTACACTCAAGTACACATGTGAGTTCGTAATCTCGCTGTTCTATCACAATGATCAGAACAAAACAAATGAGAAGTAAGGTTATTTGGGAGGTCGAATTTTAATCTTCAAAAATGTTCAATCCTCAATGTCTTCTATCTTCAACGCAAAGCATAATTATGGAATGATGTATGTATATATGTATGTACAACATATGTTGATATACATACATAGGGTAGTCAGATAAAGTGTAAGCAAGGTAAGTAATATAATTGGTGCAGATAGTGCAAAATAAGTTTCAACATGCCGCTCCCAAGCACAAAATGTGCATCTTGAACTACACGTAGTTACAAATATTTCCGACTGATAATACAATATTTGGTAATCCAGGCAATAAAAAAAAGTCCGAATCGTCTTTCAGGTGCCTTTAAGATGCCCTGCTGACCACAGCAAGAAATATGAAGGTTTCGTTCCTGGGTGCGCTGCGATAGTGCGATCGCGATATCGCGATATCTCGAGGAGCCATCTGCCATATACCGGGTGTCGCTAGCGTGCGTGCCGTGCGTCGAGACTGCCGAGAGGCGTGGTATCGTTTTGGTTAGCTGTGATCGTTGTCAGGCATTTGCCGGGATAAGAACGATCGGTAGTGTCGAAATCATGCTCGGCCGTCTCCCCGCGTGCGTCATCGACGTAGGCACAGGGTAAGCATCACCCCGGAACGATAGAACAGCCGTGATCGATTTTGGAGAAGGGTGGAGTCGGTTTTAGGTTAAATAGTCAACCGATCTGTCATCGATGACATTTCGGACCGGAACACGAGCTTTTGCATAACGCATACAGTGTAAGAGAATTGATAAATCAGAGTCTTTTCTCTCCATAAAATAAATTTGATTAATTGATTCTGTTATGCTTTATGTATTGTTTGTAAAGATCTGTGTACCCGTAAACTTCGGCCAACCCACTGCGAATTAAACCCCCTTCACCCCTCGATGATTCACGTGTATCTTACATTCTTTATGTTGAAGAACCCCTTTCATCCCACGCCGGAAACGTATCGGCGTGCATAAAAATATTTTCCCGCCCACACACAATCATGATACGCTCAGTGCCTCTTGTTGATAATCTAGCTTGCCCTTTTTAGCTGTACTTTTTTCACGATTCATTTTTTCTCTTTTTTTCTCCGACATGTAGAGAAAAGGAGGAAATATGAACTGTATAAAAAGTTCAACTTAAAAAAACGAGCCTTATCTAATCGTGGCATTATCGCAGGTACACAAAACTTGGATTTGCTGGTAATAAGGAACCACAGCTGACTATCCCATCAGCGATTGCTATCAAGGAGACAGCTAAAGTCGGCGACAATAATGCAAGGAGGATTACAAAAGGAGTGGAAGATCTAGATGCTTACATTGGGGATGAAGCTTTTGAGGCCACTGGATATTCGGTTAAAGTATTTACTCGCAATCTATTTGTTTGATTCAAAATTGGATTTTTTTCTTTTAAATGATTAACACTTATATATTTTAATCCTTAATTTGTAGTATCCAGTGAGACATGGATTAGTAGAAGATTGGGATTTGATGGAAAAGTTTTTGCAACAATGCATTTTTAAATATCTCAGGTCAGAGCCTGAAGATCATTATTTTCTCTTAACCGAACCACCTTTGAACACACCAGAAAATCGAGAATACACTGCGGAAATTATGTTCGAGTCATTTAATGTGCCGGGACTTTACATAGCTGTGCAAGCTGTTCTCGCCTTAGCAGCCTCATGGACAGCTAAGAACGTAGAGGACCGTACTTTGACAGGTGTCGTTGTTGATAGCGGAGATGGTGTAACTCATGTGATTCCAGTAGTATGTATATAAATGCATAACATCAGAATATCTTGTGTTGAAATCTAAGTTATTGCGTTTTTATAGGCAGAAGGTTTTGTCATAGGAAGTTGTATAAAGCACATTCCTATCGCTGGTCGCGATATTACATATTTCATACAAAGTCTACTGAGGGAACGAGAGATTGGGATACCACCTGAACAATCATTAGAAACAGCTAAGTCAATCAAAGAGAAATACTGTTACATATGCCCAGATATATCGAAGGAATTTGCTAAATATGATAGCGATCCCACAAAAATTAAGAAATATGAAGGTATTAACAACATCACCAAACAACCTTTTGTGGTGGATGTTGGATACGAAAGGTTTCTTGGACCGGAAATATTCTTCCATCCCGAAGTAAGTTGTCTATATACATGTAATTATTAATTTATATAAGGTTGTTCTTGTCAGCTGCACTTATATTGCATAATTCATCTTTCTTCGTTTTCCTACGTTGGAAAAAAAGAAGATTAACCGTGCAAGAAATTCAACTAAAAAGAACAGACCTGTAATCAACGCCTACATTTTCTGTATATCTCAATATTTCAGTTTTCCAATCCGGACTTTACAACGCCGCTCAATGAAATTGTTGACGACGTGATTCAAAACTGCCCAATCGACGTTAGAAGACCATTGTACAGTAATATTGTATTATCGGGTGGCTCCACCATGTTTAAAGACTTTGGTAGACGATTGCAACGCGATATTAAGAAAATCGTCGACACGCGGCTTAAGCTCAGTGAAACGCTAAGCGGCAGCCACATTACGGTAGATATCAGGATCATAATAATAATTTATTTTTATGAGAGAAAATTAATATACTTTATTAAATTCTATTTATATTCCAGCCGAAACCAATAGATGTTCGCGTAATATCGCATCATAAACAACGTTGTGCAGTATGGTATGGTGGTGCATTACTGGCCAGTGATCCAGAATTTTACACCGTTTGTCACACAAAGAAGGCGTACCAAGAGTACGGTCCTGGAATTTGTCGTTATAATCCCGTATTTCATAGTATGGTTTAAGAAATAAATAGGACGAACACGACGATCGTAATCATTTTTAAGAGTATTGTCATTTATGAATGTAAAGATTATCTAATAATATTTACTTCGTTTTTCTAATATGGTGCTAAATGCAATTAAAAATAATTCGAAGATTCCGACTTGTTGGTACACTTCATATTTTATACTTCTTTTTACACAGAATCATATCGATATGTTTAAGTACATAATTTAAATCTATGATTAGATTATGAAGATTATGAAAATTAATGTACATTTATTCTTGTTCTTAATCAATTTTAATCAATCATCGTTCATGATGATGTATGACATATACTTGTATACACTGTGTATGAAGTGCATAGAATTTACTATGTATTTTATTTACTGCAGTATAGATATATTTATCATATTTACACAAGACTAAAAAATGCGTATATAATAGATTTATAATAATGTTACAATATAATTATTTGTTATTTAATATAGTGATGCATATAAGAATGCAACACTACATGTGAAAGCAATTTTACATACAGCAAAAATTCTAACAAAACTTCAATTTTATACATAAAATTTCTTATACATCAAACAGTTCTGAGGGGGGGGGATTATCTTCTCTTATTTAATTATTATATGTACTATTGTTTAAAACTGCATAATCTGCATAGATTTCTTCTCTGGTTCTTGCCAAGTTCCGCACAATTAGAGAAAATTATTATTGTGGTTCTTCATTTCCCTCACTAAACAAACAATAATTACAAACAAAATGTCATAAGTAATGTATGAATGCACAACTAAGTAATGAAAGTTTAAATGACATGAGTTTAACCTTAGCGCTTTCGTTGCATAATTAAATAATTACAGTTATATTATCTTATATTTTTAATCGTCTATGATCTATAATTTATAATAACCATAATTGATAACTTATTTTAAGTAGTTTAATTATATATATATATATATGTCAGTGGATAAAAAACTGCAAGATAAGATATTATATGTTCCCATCTTTTGTGATGATATTGTTTTTTTTTACTTTCGCATATGTACTTACAGTAAATTCAAATCATTTAAAGCAGCAGCCGCACCATTGATATCCCTAAAAAGCGAAGAAAAAAAGAGAGAAAAGAAATTGGAACTATCATTTGGTCTATCATTCGCTATAGGCCTTTTATAAATATCAATGCTGTCTAGTGGTGGTAATGGATCATGTGATAATACTGGAGCGTCACCCTGGATCTGCATAGCAATATACAAATTTTAATAAAGTTGTATTAATATTGTTTCATTTTAATACAATGTGCAGAATACAAAACTACCTCCTGGATGTTAACTATAACTTCCTGTAAATCTGAAAGTATAATGTGTCTCAAAATGTTCCTTGGCAGCTTTCCCCGATAGCGTGTGTGGCGTTTTACTTGACAATATTTGATATAATCATCTTTAAGCTCGACTCGATTTAGCACAGAATTCACACATTCTTCCAACCACTGTAAAATATCTGTCTCTTTCCAAAGACGGAAGCTACGCACCACATATAATTTTTGTAGCTTCTCTAGAGCCGGTGATGTGTTGGCTTGTGCTTGAGAATTGAAGAACTTATGAGACATTACCTAAAAAATTAAATATTTATATAATAAAGTAGCATTTCTTCAGAACACACATTTGTTTTGCTCTGAAACAATTATTTCAAAAAGTGTCATATTTAAGACAAATTTTTTCTAAATTTTTCTATGATACCTTCGAATCTGCTTGTATGCTACATTTCTCCAATAAGATCATCAAAACACCTGGAAACATGATAAGAGCATTTTGCAGAAGAGTACACGCATCAGTTTTATTTCCCAGACGAAAATGAGCCAAAGCCAGGCTATATGCAATGTTTGGTAATTGAGTTAAATTTCTGGAGTCCTCCCACAGATCACAAAACTTTAAAAACCATTTATATTCCTTGGCTTTTAAAGCATAAAAGTCAATAAACAGGACCACTGCTAATGGATCACCCTCAGGATCCAATGACAGAAGAAATTTACAAAATTCCAAGCTTGTTCTGAAATTTTCATTGATATGAATGTAATCTTACAATTTTTTACCGATATTATTTTGACTCGTGCATATTTACCTGTAACAAGCACGTCCACCGACAAATCCAAGATGTTTGAAAAGTGTTATAAAAAATGCACGATTCTGTTGCTTCCTATAATCCAATCGACATTTCGCAGTTGTTATATTGAAGGATGGATGAAACGCACATTCTAAGCAATATAGAGCCCGTTTGATAAACTCTGCTGCATATGCTAAATCATCAGTTAGTTTACATATTTCAGATACCTGCAGGAGAGAGTCTATATGGTAAGGATGGGCATTTGCTAAATTCTGAAATATAATAACTTGTATTAACATTTATATATCAAATAGATTTTGAAGTGAACAATTTTTATCTAGCAAATAATATATGATAAAACAATTAAAGATACTATATCAGATATGCTAAGCATTGTCTAATATCACTAATGTTGCTGCTTATTGACTTACGACTATATTCTCTGGATTAAGACTTTCAACAGCTTGCAAGAATTTAAGCTGTACCTCTTTGTATGAGGCACTATGTTCATATACAAAGTAATGTACACCATTTGTGGTCTTTATAGAATGATCTAGAGACATGTATAAACCAGATCTTGTTGTTGATATCAAAGGACTGTCTTGTGGGCAAATCAACCATGTTTTCCTTCCAAGACGACCTTTATTTTTCTTGCTATAAGAAACAAAGTATTTTTTGTTCAACAAAAACTTAAAAATTACAAACGTTATCTGTATATCACATAAGTACATGTAATGATATATATAAAGATACAATTATACCTTTGCCCAGACTCTACAGTTTTACTACCAAAGAGCCTCTTTAATTCGTTATATGGATTTAAGTATTTACGTTGTACAATTAGTATATTTTCCTTGGATATGTTATCGACCCATTGCGCTTGCAAAACTTGAGTACTGCAACCTGGCAGTGGCTCCCCAAGCAATTTGTTCACCTCCTTTATACTTTGTTCAATCTCATCTATGTTCTCGTTACATTCTGCATTGTGCTCTTGTTGGCTCCTGAGTCTCTCACTTTCCAACTTCTTATGTTTTTTCTTCTTCTTCCTACGCTTTGTGTCATTGTAATCTACATCATTTGTAACCAATTCTTCATTTTCCTGCCAGTCACCAGTATCTTCCTCGTCAGAAATCAACTGTGGACACAACTTTAACGTTACCTTCATCCATGAGGGAATAAAATGATGTGATAACATTTAGTTTCTACATACCACATCGAAAACATTAAAAGATTTGGACTTGTTGCTGGTTACTGAGGCTTCCATGTCACTCGTGTCGTCGTTACCCGTTTCCAGAGTCATATCACCGTAAACCTTTTTCATATATCGCGTAGACATTTTAAGATAAATATATATATATATATATATATAAAGAGAAAATGTACTCTTTTTTTTATTTTCAAAAATTGGAATTTGCTGCTATCTCTAGTCGCAAGAACGTTTATGATCTCAGTCTCATAAATCTTGAATATTCATCCGCTTCCGTGGTAATCTGCAAAATTTATCACCTCTCGTAACGAGTTCGTAAAATCAATACATAACATTCTCGTCTAGTACACTTCAAATCAGATTGAGAGGCATTGAGAGGCACACTAATACGCACGATACAATCGATGCAGCTCTAGTCCTCTTACTCGCTCTTACTATATAAGCGAGTGATCTTTCCAGGACAAGAAAAAGATGTAGAATGCCCTACAAAAGGATTTTGTTCAACGATCAAAATAAAGAACTGTAGAGATCGCGAAAGACCGAGGTTGGAAATAGGTCAAGTGCAGTTTAGCCAGGTTTCACAAAGTTGATAAGTTAACAGAAGGCTTAACCGACGAGGAGAGAAAGCCTCCCTCTGTCCCTCTCCTTTTCTCGCCTTCTTCGTTGACACGTCGCGCAAAACACGCAATTTATCCTTGTCGATAGTCGGTACCAGCAGCAGCACTACCAGCCGTCAAAACGTTCGATCGCAAAACACGAAGCGCGGAGTCGAATCACGTCAAATGCAGACAAGTCAGCGCGGTTATCAGCCCGTCAGCCGTTAGATGAGCCACGTTCGTTCGACGCTCACGTGAACTTCTTTCCTCATTCCTTCCGGAGTTCCGGGTCTTTACAAGAGCGATCTCCACTTGTCAAAAATGGTGAGATATTTTATCGAATATTCCATATCAAATCTTACTGAAATCTACGTGATGTTGATCACCAAATAAGAATGATAGCTATCAACAAAATTTTTATGTATATATTTTACCGTAAAATGCTAATATTACATATCTGTGAGGACTCTAATCTTATAACAAGGTTATGTTTTGATCGCGACTCTTCTTATTCGGGCACTAGGAGTCAAGCGTAGATAACTTCACGTAACGCCGATATATATCAAGCAAATCTTATCTATTACAAAAAATTTATTAAAAAATTAAGCTTACATGTTTCGACTCATTTTTGAGCCTTCTTCAGAGACAATAAAAGTCCTAGTCAGTCTCGCTTGTGCATAGTGGTGAATCGTAGCATTTGAATTTTGTGATTTGATAATTTAATTTAATACTGTCAAACTATTTGTGGTGACCACAGACTTCTATATATACTACTATTTCTGATCTTTAATATTATCGAAGTTACCTGTAAATGCAGAGGTCCTAAAACTGCTTGAATTTTTACAGGCGAAACGTACAAAGAAGGTAGGAATCACCGGAAAATATGGCACCCGTTACGGTGCTTCTCTTAGGAAAATGGTTAAGAAAATGGAAATTACCCAACACAGCAAGTATACTTGCTCGTTTTGTGGTAAGGTAAGTAATTGTACTTTATACTATGAATTGGAAAGATAAATTCTCAAAATGTATTTAGTATTCTTTTTAAAATTAAGATTTTGATATTCTTTTTATCATAGACATGTTCTATTACTTTTTAATCTTTTATACAAACATTATTTCATAATTTAATACAGTTTGTTCGAGAGGCTTTCAACTGTGTTATGATACTATTTTTATTTTCTAACAGGAGGCCATGAAGCGTAGTGTCGTAGGAATCTGGTCCTGCAAACGATGCAAAAGGACTGTTGCTGGTGGTGCGTGGGTATATTCTACGACAGCCGCTGCTTCAGTAAGATCAGCTGTACGTAGATTACGTGAAGTTAAAGAACAGTAAATGTATGTAATAAATATCTTTTTAATAACTTATTCTTGTAATTTTATTTAATACAAACCAACCAACTTGTTTTAATACAAATATTGCAAGATATTTTAAAAAGAACTTCGAAAGTTATCTGAAAGATATTGACTTAAGCGTCGATTTTAGATGTTCATCTCGTTGGGATGTATAAGCATGTCATATTTCCCGAACACAGTGCTTAATAGCTTAAAAATACTGTTTCTCACACACACATTGAGGGAAACGTAAATAATTAATTTTTAGCATCGTAATTATTTTTTAAATTTAGTAACATTTTTAAATTGCTTTAATCATTTTTTATATAATAATGACAATAGCTGCGTTCGGCAATGTAAATCTGAGGCGTCGGAGTGCTCTTTTTCTACAGTGTACGTGACATATATATATATGCTATAATATAAGAGCACTCCGATGCCTCAGATTTGCATTACCGAACGCAGCTAATATTGGTCGACGCGCTCCTGCTACAAATACTACCGGTTGTGCCAGGCCGCCGACCGATGGCGCTACCATCGAGTGCTGCAAGCGAGTTGGAAATCGCATCACTGACGTGAACCTTTCGATTTGATGTGTGATCGTTACATATCCAGCGTGCTCCCGGATACGTGTACCTGTGCTTACGTGTACGGGGCATGTACGCGGGGCTCGATAATCGCGATCTGACGTCGCAGACGCACGAAGTGGTCCGCGTTCGCGTATCATACAAGATTCGACAGACATGACCATCAAACTGAAGCTAAAAGATGTGAAGGACAAGCTGAAAGATGACACCCTGGACCTCAGCTTGTGCGACCTGGAAGAAGTACCTGTGCGAGAAATTGTAAGTCCTCCTTATTTTGTTTTTTTCTTTACAAAACTAAATGGAATGCTTATAGAAATCTACTAACTTTATGGAATACCTTATTGTATATATTATTTTAGTATAGTATATAGAATATTAAAATATCTTTTGTGTAGTATATAGTATTAAATTCAAAAATTTATTTATGTTAAAAAACAAGATAATCATTATTTATTTATTATTTTATTATTATTAATTAATTTATTATTTATATTAATTTCTTGCTTTTATGATATACACAGTAAATAAATAAAGTTGGATGGAAGATATTCCAGATTGAATAACAAGCTAAAATCAAAACAATACTCATAGATATTATATTTATTTGATTTGAACCGTAATAATAAAGTTAATCTTAATTGTAATCTTGATCCGAAATACCTTCCATCAAACCTTTTATGTAATTTTTCTAGTATAAATTGAGGTACGAACACTATTCAATTTAAATATAAAATAATTAATATAATTATTATTGTATAATGTCATAGAATAGGAGTAATTTACAAGTATAAATATTCCTTATAAATCATGTTATATTTCAGGCATCTCTTAGGAAAGCCACAAATGTCAATTTATCAACCAATCTTCTGGTTTCGCTGCCGGTAAGTTTTATTGGACTTATAATAATTGAAAGATATTTATATAATTTGAATATTTTATAGCAATTTTTAATATTTGTGTGTTTTTTATTGTGGACATAAAATCTTTCACAGGCCACTTTTGTTACATTGAAACAAATTGTAAAATTAGATCTTAGTAGAAATATGTTGGTCGAACTTCCTGAAAATTTTGGTGAGATGACTCAATTAAAACATTTGGATTTATATGCTAATAAGGTAAACTGCTCTCTCCTTATACTTAGACAAAACTCTTAGACAAAACTATACTTAATTTGCATAATTTACAGATCAGCAGATTACCTTTGAGCCTAAGTGAATTAAAAAATTTAAAGTGGTTAGATTTGAAAGAAAATCCTTTGACCGAGGCTGTAGCCAGCGTTGCGGGACCATGCAGTAATATGCGCGAGTGTCAGGCATGTGCTCGTAATATCGTCACTTATTTGTCCAACGTTAAACTTGTCATTGAGGAAGAGAGATTACGTAGATTAAATAATATCACAGGTGTGCATCACTTGTTGCATAATTCCAGTAAATAGTAGTAACTAACAGTAACATCAATATTTATGTTACAATACAATATTACTGTTACATATCACCATTTTACATTTACATTGTTAAGGGCTGGTTACTATCTTTACTATGTGTAAAAATACACATCTAAACTATGTGTTAATAATCTGTTCGCATTGTTTGCATTTTTTGCACTCGGCGTTTTCACTTTCTTTTTTTTTAATGCGTAAATATATCTGTCTTATTTTAAATTCAAAAATTTGAGGGGATTTCAAGCAACTATACATTAGTAGAAAAATAGACATAAATGAAATGAAATTATAACACTGACATTACACTAGGCCTAGTTTCTGTTTTTAAGAGTTTTTAAAAGCTAACTGTGAATTATGAAACTGGATCTCAACTAGTATTTACTGACATGTTGCTGTATATTTCAATCAATGCAGACAAGGAGGTACCAAGTACAAAAAAGGAGAACAAGAAGAAAAAGAGAAAGAAGGATATCGAAAAAGAGAAGATGAATGGAAATAAAACTGATTCTCCAAAACAGAGCGAGGGATGCTTGCAAGACAATAATGATAGTGTAAGATTAACGGGATCATCTAATAATATGTCTATGCGTAAATCAGATAAATCGACAGGTAAATGAATATTGATCTTAAAAATTTTTTAATTTATAAATAAAAAATCGTTTATATATCATGCATTGTTTTATGCTGCTTATGACCCAGGTTCAGAATTATGCCGATCTTTCATGTGCGTGATTGTGAGCTTTTTCATGATCAGCTCGGTATTGATTATAGCAATGATGCTTTCATGGCGTTATGAGCAAGAGACAGACATGTTTCTGCAAAATGCGCAGACATTTTCAGGGCTGCCGTTAAAGAATTATCACCGACAGACTACGGATTATTTGCAGCATATAATAAAGATCGCGACTGTCCAGATCAAGTTGATTATTGATGCTGTAAGCAATTTCTACAGAACTCAATTCGAAAGCAGCACAAGTAAGGAAACGAAAGAATTATAAAATTATTTGTCTATTTCTGTTATATTTAATTATAAAACTTGGTAAGATCGGAAGGCTTTTGAATTTGAAGAAGATAACTGGAGTAATGCATTTAATATTTTGTTGTATCATAAAAACTTATTTTCATCAAATAAAGAAATATTCTTAACAGACACGTCGTTTATTTTTCGATATGTTTCACATTTTAACACCAGAATGGTAACGTCGATGTTATCCTGTTAGAACAGCCGAAGGTGACAATTCAATAATTTAAAAATTAATTTCTATTTTTATTTTTAGTTAATGGAGTTATTTTGATATTATTTATATTATTAGAATTTTTTGATTATACTATTATCTACATATTTTTAATATTGTATATTTAATATAGAACAAAAAAATTGACATGATTAGCGAAGCCATAGTGCATTAGAGATAAAATGAGTATATCAAATAAAAACTTGTAAAAATGATTATCGAAAAGTTGAAAATTTGAAAATATATCTTTTTTTTTATTTCCTTAAAGAAAAAAGATCAATTTTTAAATAGAAAGAAGCCCACGAAAAGAAATGTCAATATTAAAATTAGTAAGTACAAAATCAATACACACATACATTGCATACAATAAAAATAACACATTTTATACATGTAGGATGCATTTATCCATTTTTATGCAGCAGCATACAAAGAATCTTCCTCCGCATGAATTGGTATGAATGTGACCCCTTTTAGGATGTTTACCGCCACAAAGAAAAAGATAAAAATCTGATGCAGTGCCCACGCTAAATTTAAGATCAATCAATGAAGGTGTACAAGTAAAAGTTTCTTTAGTAATCAAGAATATTATAATTATGTGACTTTTTTATTATTTATCGTGTCGCATTTTACTGTGTGGCAAGTACAATATAATATTGATAATTTATTGTTTATTTTGTCAGGTTGTGATAAATCTGCAATAATGCCAAAAATTGTGATAAATACACAAAATACTACCTGAATAACAAATCAAAACTTTGACTTCAAAAAGCTCATTTAAATTTGGGTAAGCAAATTACATTTATGATGATCGGTGAAGTGTTCAACACAATGATTTTAATATATACTTTCGTTTATATTAACTTGTTAAATTAGTATATAAACGAAAGTAATGAAATAGCATAAGTGATTCTTAATTCCTGTATAATGATTATATCTTTGCTCAGCAGAGAAAACCGATCAATGAGCGCTCAATGATTCGTTAATATTGATGTCTTTTACTATGAGCCAATTGCACAATCGGCGATTCTAACGAAAAAAGAAAAGTAAAATTTCATATCGTAAGGAATAGTTCGACAGTATTTGAACGTGGCGCGCGTTTACAGTGGCTAACTTGGGCAATTTATGGAAGAAAAGTCCCTAGTCTGCTTCCGCAAGGTTACAGTTTGTCGCCAATTGGCCAAGTATATTGCAGGCCTCTCTGATTGGTTGGTCCAGTTAAAAAATTCCAAATACCGTTCTCCGCGAATGGCTGCAATCGATCTTGACGTGGCCAAACTGCCAAAGTTGGTCAAAGTGATTAATTGGGACGCTTCTCGAACGTTAGCATATATTCATTTGTGTTTGTAATAAATTATCCTTAAACTTGAAACAGATTCAGTGATTAACCTTTCACTGCTGAATAAACATTTTCCCGTCTTTCCATTTCGCCTTCAGCGAATCATCGTTGGCGTCAGACACGCACGGCGCACTGTTGGGCAACGAGATACGTTAGCCTCCACAACTGCGGGTTGGAAATCGCATCACTGCTTCGTGCAAATAATACCGAAGATGGAAAACAGCGGCGAAAGCGGCGACGATGGTCCTCTAGGATCGACATTTCTGGGTGGAAATACCGTTGCTGCGTCCTACATTGGAGTACAGTCAGATGATATGGAAGGTAGGTTAGCGTTCCTTCCCCCCAGAGTCCAAGAGCCAACTTCGAGAATAGCAAAGTAGTCGAGTTGCTCGAGAGTTTCACTGAATGTTATCTAGATCCTTGTATTTTGTATCATTAAGTTTATATCAAGTTAGATAGGGCTGAGTGGAAAAGAGGAATGCAAGTATGTGACTATTTCCTCGGACTACAGCGTTTATGCTTCAGTTTGCGCCTCCTGCATCTCAATCGATGTCGTTTTATGTTTAAAACTAAATTTTTATGTTTAAAACTAAATTATTTACACTTTAGTTTGATTTTAGATTTATTTGTCATTGTACTCCACTAGATACTAGATTGCACTAGAACTTTCCTCCCTTCTCACTTTTGTCAAATCTTACATTAGTTTAGCTATAAAACATAGACCTTGTAGTTTTATCTGTATATATCCAGAATTTATCCCTAGTAAGTCTATCACTAAATTTTTCACTATTAATGTATGATTTTTATCTATTAATTATCTTAAAGACATGAAGCATAACAAATACTTGCAAAGAGAGCACATACCTGCTATCTTAAACTTTTATGTAGGTTGTACTATTAAAATACAAAGGTACAGGAATATATCAACTTTTAAATACTTACGAAAAGATTTATACTTGTATTTAGACAGTATATTTACATGGTAACTCCCTTATAAGTCGTCGCGGATCAGATTACAAGTCTTTTGGGTAGTAAGACAATGTATAAATCTTAATAAATGCTTTGTTTTAAACAGATGATCCCGAAAACACAGACGACTCAAATCATGGCACAGGAGATCCTTTGCAGAGCCCTGGAGTTTCCACTGGTGGTGGGCTGCTTCGCGAGCAGGATCGCTTCTTGCCGATAGCGAATGTTGCTAAGATCATGAAGAGAGCCATTCCAGAGTCCGGAAAAATTGCCAAAGATGCGCGTGAATGTGTTCAGGAGTGCGTGTCAGAATTTATCTCCTTTATCACTTCGGAAGCTAGCGACAGGTGTCACATGGAGAAGCGCAAAACTATCAATGGTGAAGACATTCTGTTTGCCATGACTACGCTCGGCTTTGATAATTACGTCGAGCCTCTGAAAGTGTACCTGCAAAAATATCGCGAAGCAACAAAAGGTGACAACCCGCCTAACACACCAACCACTGGCAATGGAAAAACAGAGCCGCAGAACATGTACGAGGATCAATTGTTCGCTATTACCGCGACAGCGTCCAGTGTGAGCACTTCCGACTCGTCTGTCATTTACAGTTACTCGTCAAACGAGCAGATGCAGTTTCAACTTTCCTGATCATTAGGAGCTAAAGTGATATTGATATAAGTATTTATCGTATTTGTTCAGAGATATACTGTGATCTGTGAAACATGGGCATACAGATGATCATGTACAGATCTAATTATGAGGAAAAGAAGAACGGTATTTGCCTAGCTTAGCAAAGTATCTTAAGTTTTAACATTAAGATCGATGAGCATTATAAGATTCGATTCAGATAAAGTATCAGAGAATAAAATAACTTTAATCTTTGTAAAGAAGCTTGTAAGAGTGTGTGAGCGCAAATAAATCGGGGCTTTTCGCGAACGATACCTGGTTGGAACAAAGTTGGTGGTTTTCTTTTACTTTTTCGAAAACAAGGATGAAAACATAGCCGATTCTTTTATTTTTCTATTGTTTAAGTTTAAGCTCTAAGACGCATTTTAAGCTACTCTTTAGGCTGCGAAATCTCGCGGTTCAGGCCGTAACGGAAACTAAGATCGAGCAATCGGGCGTGAACCGGCAGTAAATCGGCGTATAGTATATAGAATTTATTCGTAGAAAATGTTCGTGAGCGTGCGAATCACGTTGTCCTTTACTCCGGTAATTGGGCAGGTGAGAGCAGGAGCTCGTGTCCCTTCGTCGCTGGCGACACGGAGCGGCTTATGGGCGCGACCGGACGTCCTCGTTCCCGTTCTTGTCGCATCGACGGTGGCAATAGCGAGGCGGTCGATAATGTTCCCGGTCCCGCATCCGCTTTCCTCGCCTTCTTATGCGAGGCGACCGGACAGAATCGCCAGCGACACTGACCACAGTGGCATAGGCAGAGGCACAACAACACGCGGAACAGACAGCACAGCAAACCGGCGCACAGTAACGACGGGCCGACCAGCCTTAGCTGCGGGCTCAGGAAACCCTTCTCCCCGGTGCCGACGAAAGAGATAACTAAACCAAGTGCGGTGGTCCCCAAACCGACATAGAGCACGGTGTTGACCGCCGCGCTGACCTCGCCCCGTTGATGAATGTTACTGCTGTCATCTTCGTCGTCGTCCTCGCCGCTGCTTCCGTAGCAGTAACTGGCATCTCTTATCTGAAGTACACGATTCCATATATTATTTTTATTTTCTTTAAATATCCACGTTTAGCGAAATACTCATTTTGCAATTGTTGGAAGTTAATTCCTTCGCTGAGACAGGATTTTTTAAGTTTTAAGTGAAAATATCGAGAAATGTTCAACATAAATGAATGAAGAAGACCATATTTAATCGAGACGAGCTTGATGATATTTTTGTGTAAATGTTTACAATTTTTAGTTCTAATTGTAAGAGCATTAAAATTTCTATTCCTTAAAGGTTTTAACACTTCAAGGTTTCTTCCCCTATATAGATTTAAAGGCGTAATCCAAATCAACGCGAAGAAAACTTTTAATAATTGCAAAACACATTCTACTGAAAGTGAACAATATTATTAACATCCTCCTTTCATCTCTCGCTTTTCTTTAATATTATACGAGTATCCGAAACAATTACCCGGTTTCTTTTCATCCATCGTCGATGTGCTTCGCATTGCTTTGTTCTGTATCCAGGTGACGTGGGAGATAAGGGAAGTGGTGAAGGTCTGCTGCATCCTTGCCACGCCGCCTTGCCACCAGGTCCTCCCTGACCGCCACACTGAAATACGTAACTCTCAGACATATCATTACGAATAATTGTTGAGGCCAATGAATCGCATGATCTTCCGTTAAAATGTAAGTAATCGCATTGAGTCGTGCATTATTTTAATTGATCACCTTTAATTTATTGTATCTTGTAACTACTTTATATTCTGCAATAAAATTCCGTGAGAAATTCACAGCGTTCTAGATAGGCACAATATAAACCCTTCATCCCCCTTTGTAGCTCCTTTGAACGTTGACATGAGCTTTACATGAA